AATATCCTTTCATTTACATATAAATTAAACCAGGAGATATATACAGCTAAGAAGGTAAATTCACAAGGAAAACTGAAGCAAAGAATGGTCTTTGTTTCAAGTTGACAATTTATGGTTTAAGCACTCAACTATACTAACCTACACCTTGAAAGATTTCAGATGTAATTGAGTGAAATATGAACAACAAACTACATTATTTAGAATTTGTTCCATTTTTACCCACCATGTAATTGTTTGTAATTAAAACTTATCTGTTATTTATACTTATAATGTAAAGAAAAAAAAAGGTCAAATAAATTGTATATGATTTTGAATATAAGAACAGATTAGAAACATTTAACATTATTATTATTTCTTTTATTAACATATTAACTGCTTGACCAAAAAGGTTAGTATTTTTAGGAAGGGGGATACATATTTCATTGATTAGATATCAAATCAATCCAAGGCCAACTGCAGAATCACAGAATTATTATAAACTACATGATCCTTTCATTAGCTGCATAGTATGTGCTTCACAATTTTGAATTCAGTTTTTCTTTGTCCTATACTGGTTGCTACCCAAGGCTATATTTACACATAGTGGGGGTGAAAAGAAAAAAAATTCATACATTTCCCCATTCACATAATTGAATGTAATGAACTTGGCACTGATTCCTGAACCACTATCCATTACTTCACCATGCAATTAGATATTAATCATCGTTGGAAAAATTTCAAAAATATTTTAGCAAGAATATTTTGTAAATTATTTGTCTTTATGCAAATGGAAATGACTTTTGTGTAAAAATATTGGTGGATAAATATTTTTTATTTTTCTTCAGTAAATTAAAAGCATAGAATTTTAATTGGATAGTTTTTAAGATGGAATGTAGACTGCTTTGGAAGACTGTCAAAGATTAAAGAATTTATTTGTTGATTATATCAAAAACATGAATTTTTATACAGTAGTATGAAAACTGAAGAGAGTTTTGGCTGTGAGAAAGGAAATGGAGTGTTGATGCTTCAAATAAAACAAAACCAAACTGATGTGGGATTAAAAAAAACTGCCTGTGATGTTCTATTATTAGAATTTATTTTTTTAAGCAGTTGGTTATTAATGTTACCATTTTACAAAACTCAATTCTATAAGTCATAATATAGAATGTAGCCACATATTAATAACTGAATATCTTTAATTTTGCAAAGTAGATTAGGTAACAGGAAATTTGAAATGATTATATTAATGACTTATAATTTATGGAATATTAAAGGCATTTTTATAATTCCAAGATGTTTGTCCTGGATTTTATGTGTTAAAATGTGCAGATTTTGTCAGTACTGTCATTCAAGTTGATTATAACACCTGAAATCTTCAGGCATTCAAGCTATATTTTATATTTTTAGTAATTAGTATTTGGTTTGCTTTTATGGTTTTTTGTTTTTTTTTAAAGTTAACCATTAAGCTGATAAACTGTCTGCTTGAATAATATGTATTTATATAAAACTTGACAGAAAAATATAATAGCCTCCTGTTAAACATACATTCTATTGTTATAAATAATTTTGCATTATTAGCATTGAAAAAGTATATAGCACGCATTCATCCAAATACATTTATCATGAACTACAGCTAAAATATTTTTTTTATAGGTAAATGCTCATGGATTAACATTTTAACTGTGTTACCAGAGCAATGTAGATTTGGAAGTTAATGGTTGTGTATTTATACATTTTTTTCTCTTTTGATAAAACAATCAAAATACATAATGTTTGATCAATACCAAATGAGTACAGCAGATATAAGAAATCCATCTTGCATAAGCTTTTGACCATCAAAAATAAGGTTTTAAGCAGACCTTAAATAAAAACATTGAAATTCTGTTAGTTAAATAATCCAGTCTAAGGAATATTAAATTTATATGAGTGCTTTTTAGGTGCTATTGAATTGGTTTTAAAATTTCTACATAGACTTAAAAGATGAGAGTAACTGGAAATATATTTGCAGGTAATCAATATTATTTAATATGAATAAACCTCAAGATGCCAAAATCATCCATTGAATATACAGTACCTAAAAACCTTCTCTCTCAAATTACTTTGTCTTAAAATTGTCTGATGGACAAGAGTTTTGGCTGTAAATGTCAAATATGCATGTCTTGTGTACTTTTCACATCCTATTAATTAGTACATTAAATTCATGAATGTAACTCCTTGAACATGTCCTGATATAATCAGTATTTAATTAACATAATTGATTTTGTTAATATTTCATTTCTATCACCATTCTAGTTTGTTAATCAAATCGTGATAACTGAAAAGATTATGCTATGCTTGGAAAGTTTAATAGACAAGGAAGCTAGATTCATTGAATATATATATATATATATATATATATATTTGAATAATGGAAGCCTTATTAATAAAAAAAAAAAAAAAAAAAAAAACATTTAATAATATTAACTATGAACATGGACACAATGTCTTGACCGTGTTTTGAAAAATGAAAACATTTTATAAAACATACATGCAACAAACTATTTCTTATTTAACAGTTAAAATATTTAATCCTTGAAAATGGCTAAATGTAAAAAAAAAAAAAAAAAATTTCTAAAATAATTTCATTTGTGAATAAGTTCTGAAAGTTTCATTAATTTTTTGCAAAAATTTCCCGTACAAATCCTTGGTCCTCTGTTGATGCAAAAAAAAAAAAAGTAAATTTTTAACCAAAATTTCAAACGTTATAAAAAGAATCATAAAATGTAACTTAATAATAATGATTTATGCCTTTTGATGCCAAAACGTTTTATTAAGTTTGGGGCCAATATTTTTTTATCATAGCATGCTCATTTTTTTATCAAATCTGTAGACGTACATATTTATATGTATGCATATTTTGTATGTATAACTGGTCACTCATATTTGAGGATACCTGTCTACTAGGGGTGGGGGGGACTAGCTAATCCCTATTGTAGACGCTTCCTCAGGCACATTTGTGTTTATTCAACACCCAGAGAATCTACCTGTGGTTTATACTGCAACTATGCTGAGCAGACCTTAGTTACAATTTCTAGGAAAGGCCGTGTTATCTAGCATGAGCAACAATTTAGATAAGGCCAGCATGCTCAAGCCCTTGGCCATGATAACTTGTGACCGTGCTAGCACAGCTATTGATGGCCTTCAAGGATTCCGTCTACCCAATTTCACTCATGTGGCTTGGGTCAACCCGTTGTGCGGTTTTCAGGCACCGCATGCTAGGATCGACCCCTCCAGTCTGATAACATCAGGGAGTCTCTTTCCTGACAAATCAAGTCTCATGGTCAAAATGCAAACGTTCTAACCATGTGACCATATCTATATATATATATATATATATGAGTATTGTAGCAGAAATAATCAAATCTTTCACTAACTCATCAAATTCAATGGGAACCTGGTGAAATCCTTGCCATATTTTTTATTTTACTGTCTTAAGTACTGATAGAAATGTATCCAGTATGTGAAATGAATTGTATTAGTCTAGCCAGTCAATTGAGGCCACACTTTTAGTTGTAATGACACCATCATTAAGCAGACTATTTATGCTTCATTATTGTTTCAAACTATAACAAATGCTGAAGCTAATTGGTCATTTCATTATAAGAGTAAAAATCTCAAAAAAAAAAAAAAAAAAAATGTTCCCTTTATTTGTTCCTCAACCTTGTTATAAATGACAATTTAAATGCTAATCATTTAAAACATGTTCATTAAGTCTTATTAAATTCTTTCATTAGCATAAGTTTTTCAAAAGATTTTTTTTTTTATCATTTTATAAATTTTCAATATTTGTAGAATAAAAAAAAATTATTTGGAAAATGAACTTTTAAATTAATAAATTTCATTAAAAAAATCTCGAGCACATGACAAATATCTAAACAGTACTCTTGAGTATAAAATTCAAGTTTTATAATTTGTGTAATGATCATTTTTAAACTATGACTAAAGAGCTTTCCAACTTTAATGGTGGAACTTGAAGAAATTGCGCTCATACTTTCTCATATCAGTTATAGGATTGCTGTTCTAATGTTAATGATGGTGTCTATTGATTCAGCATTAGTGTCAATATTATCTTTTTTTTTTTACGTAAACCTCTCTGAGTTATACAAGGCTGATTATTTTAAAAATATATTAAACTTAACTTTTAGCAAATTCCTTATAATTTTAAATTTATATTATCCAAAATAAGTTTTCTAATTGGTTAACTAAAATATGTGGTGTTAATTACTCATTGTTTTGATCTGTCTGTGGTGCTTACTAATGGTAATGGGCATTTTAAAAGTATATAAAATGAAAGCAAAGAAAAGCAATAATGAGAAAAAAAAATTACTCACTATAAGGTGGTTGATTGAAAAAATATAACAAGAAAAAGGGATAACTGGTTATTGCTCCTTACTCTTCAAAGCCAATTAAGAGCAAAAACAAATATGTGCACAAATTAAAAAAAGGGAAGAAAAATATACTACCAGAAAATTGTGCATATATCTGTTTTTTAAAATGTCTGTTTTTAAAAAACTAATAAAACTTTGTACCTTCCACATATTATTAAAGTAACAAAATTTATTATGAATTGTTCAGTTAATATTTTAGACATGAAATTCTGACCCTCTATTCTTTTTCCTGCTACCTTCATTTCTGTTCGCAAGATAACTCAAGTAAATTTGACACAGCTTTTGAATCTATGTATAAATTCATTTGATTTAAGATTGCAAGTTATTTTTCTCTTTGAGGAAAATGTGAACATTACTGCTAAAAATATATTAGGATTAAGTATCACTTGAAAATGGGAAGTTTCTCTTAAACCAAAAGTTTTTCTGTATTGAATTCTATTGGAAAAAAAATGCCACTTCATTAAAGACAATTCATCTTTCACTGAATAGAACACAATGTATATTGCAAGTCATTGTTATTCTTCATAATTTGTCTTTTTTTTTTTTTTTTTCATGAGCCTCACTAGTTACAATTATTTTTTTTCCCTGCTACAGGTACTAAGAGCGGTTTCTCCTAAATTTGGAAAATTGGTTGCGGAGGAGGCTAAACGAAAAGGGGAATTGCGTTATATGCATTCAAGAGTCATAACAAATGCTGAGGAAATTGCCTTTTACAGTGGTCACAAGGTGAGTATATAAGAAGTTTTCTATTACTTACTGTTATATTTATCTTTGTCTAAATCAAAAACATTTATGGGCTGCTCATAGATTTTCTATAGAAAATGTTTTGGGTAGTAATACCCAGCTACCAGTCAGTTATAGTACCAAAAATATCAGCCCTTCAAAAGAATAATGCTGCTTTTTATTCGCATTGGTTGAGTTCAGCAGTAAGTGTGTTTGGAACAAGAGTTTATGATTTTTTTTTTTTTTTTAATTGATGGTGTTTGAACATGCGATTTTGTTTCACACATGACCGAAGTTTACGACATATCCTGAAAGGTGACATTTCAATGTGTAGATTGTGAATTTAGAATGTTCTTTTGTTTCTGGGAAGGAAAAATGCTGTATAATCAGCAAAAGAAAAAGGATATGTGCCATAACTGAAAGTAATGTTTAGAAATGGAAGTTTTGATCTTGAAGACCAAGGATATTCTGGCAGGCTAGAAGTTGTTAGTGATGACTAAATCCAGGTAACACAGTATTGCAAATACTCTACATGTTTCATATGAGCATTGTAAGGCATTTGAAAACACTTGAATATGTAAATTGCTACAATGTATGAATACCTCAATATTTAACAAGAAAAATTATTTGTTCAGATGCAGCAAAAACAATATTAAAAAAAAAAAAAAGTTGTGTATTCAAAAATAGATTATTTAAAAAAAGACCATGAGACGACTTGAGCCACTATGTACCACTCCAAAAGCTAGTCTGCATCCAACGAAACTTATGCTATGAAGAAGGGCGTTTTGTATTATAAACTCCTTTTGCTAAATCGGATTTTGAATTCAGACAAATATTGTTTCCAGCTGGACTGATTAAAAGGCAGTAATTGATGAAAAGTGTCTACAATTGGTCAACAAGAGTGTCATCTTCCATCAAGACAACACCAAACTTTACACTTCTTTTGCAGACCCAGCAGAAATTGGATAGGATGTCCTACCACACCTCCCATATGCACATTAATATCTTGATCCTTACAAAATTCTCTTAATGGGAATGAACTTCATTTTTATGGATGATGAAATCATGAATCTGCTTAAAAGATGGCATTAGGTAGTTGAACATTGTCTTTGAAATTCACTTAAAAAAATATTGAACAATTTACATCATTATTAAAGTAAGGTCTAAGAAAATTGTGAATGTTAATGACTCTTCTTAAAGTAATGAGAATAAACAAATGTATGACTTTGCATTTTCCTTTTGAAAGATGTCATTTATTCTGGTTTTAATTTTGAGTAAAAATAAAAACTGATCATTTCAATTCTGTTTATATGAACAGTTACAATAACCTGTTGAATGAAAGCTACACCAAAGTATAAATTATAACACACATTAGTGTAATTGATTTTTCTAATGTCTACTTGCTTATGACTTGAGATTTGTTTCTTTATCAAGGCTTATCAATCATTTATCAAATTATTTAAAATTAAACAAATGACTGAATAGTTTTCACTCAGAGATGAACTTAAATTCTCATCAATGAACTGATGAGAATACTCACAAAGAAGTAATTAAACAAATACAAGTGGGGTAAGGCTAAAAAATTTATAAATTGATAATGTGACTCAACTTTTGTCTTCAAAGTTTTCACATTGACACTTAAGCAAAAGAATGACTTAGTAAAAATCATAAAGAAAAGAAATCAAACATGACTTGAAGCTTTATTGCAATATTACCTTAATTATTTTAATATTCACTTAACATTTGTAAAAAAAATTTGTTTCTCTTATAGATTGAATTAAGTGCCTTACAATCATGTTACCAAGCACTTGCGTCCCAAATGGATGTCATTTTCCGTCAACGTCTATGGTATGTAGTCTTGGAGCAGTTCCTCATGAAATATGTGTGGAGTGCTGCAGGCCTTGTGATGGTAGCTATTCCAATTATTACTGCCACTGGCATCAAAGCTGATGGTAAGATGAAATCTGAATTAATATTATCAATTGCTAAATCTCTTATAACTTTTATTTATAGTTCATATTAATTTTTAGCTTTTCATTCCAAGTAAAATATCAGATTTTGTTGGTCATGATTATTTTAAGCACACACACACAATCAGAGAATGCTTACATATTGATATTGAAACACAAGCAAGATATGTTAACATTTTTAATGTTTCTTAGGCATACATCAGTTATAACCTGTAAGTAAACAAGAAGAAATTAAACTTAAAATTGTAACATTTGGTAGTTTTTTAACTGATTTTTCACTAAATTTTATTTATTTATAGCAAATTCCTTTGTATTTGAATTATAACTAAGCTCTGGTTATCATGTTTAAGTAGTAAAGTTTATAATAAAATTCATCTATTTTAATCTTATTGAATTATATAGCATTGTGAAATATGCAGGCAACAACACAAAGTATAGAAGGAATGGCAATTGTGACTCTTGCATTTCTTTTAATGATTGATTTGTTTTTACATGGATTAACCCTTTGTTGGTTATTTAAAACTAAAACACATTTTGGATTGTAGAAGATTGGATACAGCACCTTGTGTCCCCAAGTGGTCTCACACCTCAATACTGACTGAGTGACTTTGAGAAGACATTTCTCAAAATTTTGATCTTTGAAGTAAATTCTAATTATAGTAGAATCTCAATTCTTCATGACATAATTTGCTTGTCTAATTAATTGTGTAGCATTTCAGTTTTGTTGTCTTTTGCCTCAGGTAGTAGTATGAATGATGATCCAGATGGAGGTGTTAGTGAGAGGACTCAGTCCTTTACAACAGCCAGAAATTTGCTTATATCAGCAGCTGATGCTATTGAAAGGTGGATGTCTTCTTACAAAGAGGTCAGTTTCCATTCTGAATTGTGCATGCAGTAGTTAAAATGTTTAACATGGGCTTTCTTCTTGATTACTTTATTTTGCCATTTATTACACAAATTAGTTACCAGCTCTGAAATTGTTAATATAAACATTGTAATAATAATAATCTCATCAAACAGAAATTTACATTTAAAATAAACATTTGAATTGTGGGGAAAATAACTAAGCAAATATTTTTGAAAGCTTGTAAAATTTATGGATAAAAGAGGAGGCAGATACAAAATTTTTTTTTCCGAGGCCGGTGTGCCGCCCCCACATGCAACAACACCTGAAGTTATACCCAAACCCCACCATCATTACCATTCCCATGGTAAACTAACCATTGAAGATATTTGCTGGAGCTCTGTGCCTGGATTAAAATGACTTAACAGTAAATGTAAAAAAAACTGTCAAAATAATTTTCGTTTCCCTTTTTAGAAGAGATAATTTCATCAAATAAATGTGAAGAGTAACTATTTAGAATGCAACAAATTCTTTGCAGATATTTTCTGCAATATGGATTTTTCTGATAATCCATGTAAACTAACCACTGAAGGTATTTGCTGGAGCTCAATGCCTGGATTAAAATGATTATTAATAGTATTAAATAAATAAATAGTCATTTTAATCAAGGCATTGGGCTTCAGGTGTTGTTGCCTGTGGGGGTAGCACGCTGGCCTTGTAAAAGAAATTTTTTTTATCTGTCTCCTTTTATTCATGAATTTTTACATGCTTTCAAATATATTTGCTTAGTTATTTTCCTCACAGATTGTTTCAAATAAATTTAGAAAGATAAATTGTGTATTAAAGGTAAAAATGAAGATTATTTTGTTTTATAGTAGGGAAGAGGTTTATGTTAATGATAGGGATTATACTAATGACATAGGTATTCATAGGGACATAAATGATTTGGGGATAAATCAACATTCTCTAGCAAGTGTGAGAAATGGTGATGGCACATATATTGAATCCATCATAAACACTCAGGATATGGATCATTAGTAGATCCTAAACACTCCAAATACCTAGGTGTATGAATCAGTTATAACAAACTTAGAGTAGTAGTTTTATCCAAAGCCACAAGATGCTATGGAGTCAAAACAATAAGTTAAGAATGAAAGTAATGTTCTTAAATAGTCTCCTTAAGTTTAAACTCTCATATAAATATCTAAACTGTCAGCTGTATACAACAATTTTCTCAGATCAATGATTAAAATGGCTTTGAGCGAATGAACCCTGTAGGTCTTAAAGAGGACTGATCTCATGGACTGATAAAGTGTGTGATTCTGTAGCACCAAACAGCAGAAACCATATCACTTCAGGTCTTTCAACAACTAAGTGGATATCACATGTAGTAGTATTCTTTTCGGTGTTTGAAGGATTATCATTATTTTCTCTTAGAGTTACAACAGAGCAATAACTGTGGATTTGATAAACCTATTTTCCTGAAAAATTAAACTGACAGTAACACTAACTGTTCAACCAATGAATGCCAAATGTTTCCATATAAGGAAATGGCTAATCCTACCATTATCATTTGCCTTGGTCTTTGTAAAAAAATGTTTGTGCACCTGATAAAAATTGAAATGAATGAAAGATATGTCTGCTGAAGGTAATTTTTCAGCTGTGGTGCATGGACAGGAATTTGGAGCATTAAACATTAATAATATTTAGTCTTTGTGTTATGAGCAAGATAAAAACAATGAAACTTATATTTATTGATTAGTGAGTAAAGAAAAGTGGCATGCTGTTTATATCTTACTATGATCTTACCTTAATATCATGCAGGTCATCAGAAAACAGTAAAATTAACACGCTAATTTGTTCCTGAAAAAAGATTTATTAAAAATTATTCGATTATACCAACTTTTTTAACTGACAGAATTGAGGGCAAATGTTATAAACTTGTTATGCATAATTTTAAAAAGAAAACTCCAGGGTTTCATTAAGTTTCAAAGTTTTTGTCCTATGCTTTTAAGCCATTTTCTTTCTCTCTCCCCCCCATGTTGTAGGTGACTGAACTTGCTGGTTATACAGAAAGAGTACATAATATGTTAAAAGTCTTTGAAGATGTTCAACACGAAAAATACATCCGTACTATCGTTGGTCAAACTGATAAGGAAAGAACAACAGAACATCTCAAAATTGCTGGTGAGTTTGTTTTTCACTTGATCCAGTCTGATTAATGAAACTAGGATTGTTTTTCTCTTATAACACAATTGGAGATACATGAAGAATTTTATGATTTAGGGTATTTCTTATAGAAGTTCCTAATAGAAATGTTAGTTTGTGTTTCCAAGATTTTGTCTAAGAATTAGACGTGTAAAACCACATATTTTGAATCCATATCATCCAGGTGTGCTATAAACCCATTGTGTCATACTTTTCCAAACCTCAGTGTTATCAATTGCTATTTTCCTTTTAGGTAAAAGGAGCAAATAAGACAAGAAGTATTGTTTAAATAGAAGTGGATAAATTTATGAAAAAAAAAGTATCCTAATTAACTGATAAAAATAGATTTATTTATTTACATTAGGACTGTTGCCCTCATTTTTGTTGTTGCTATCACGTTTCAAGCATTTTGCTCTCTGGCCTTCATCAGGTCTATATCAATCCAGGTAAACTACAGGGAATTCTGAACTGAAACCTCTATTTTATCTGTAGAGTGTAGACACTTCTGGTTCCACTGCCTCATCTAGTTCTTATTTTTAGTACTGCTCAGTTATTGCTCGCACATTTGTACAGAGTCCAAGTATGCACTGCTCAGCCCAAAGATTGAACTCAATTACTATGTCACCAAATTCATGAACCAATACTTTAATCTGCTAGGCTATTGTCTAGTGATAACAACAATTTGAATGTAAATAGTGTAAAGACAGAATAAACTTCTTGATTTCTGTGTAAGATTTTTAACAGGTCATCATTAAAGTGAATGTGATAATTATTGAATAGAATATTTGATTTCAGGCTAAATAGACTATTTAGTGCATTACCAGGGTTTGAATATTACAAGGTGTAATTTATTAAAAATCAAAGTTCAGTGGGATTGTAATCAGTTTGAAAATTTTAATTAAATCTCAACTTGAAATAAACAAAAGGTAAAATCTGGATAATTTTGACAAAGTGATTGGTATAGATCATATACAAAGCTAAATAATACAATGATAAATCTACATGAATGATCAATAAATGTTTCTGTTCATTAATTCTCATTATTCTGAGAGTTATCTTGTATATACATTGAGCACCAATTATCTAAGATAACATTTTGAGACTTGAAAGGATTAGTATAAATTGTTTTCTAAGTAAAAACAGTCAATTATCTTTTAGTTTCATTGTAAATAAGTATCAGAATTGATGATAAAAGTTCAACTGATATCTAATCATGATAATTCAGAATTTGTATGTGTAATTAGTGGCATGGAAATAGGAAGAAAATTAATTTGAAAAAAAAAAAAACAAAAAAAAAAAACAATTAAGTGTTCTTAATTATATCTATTACAATTTGAATCTAAATCGCAAAGTTAATTTTTTTCATATGGAATCTAATTGTAGGGTTAAAAATTGATTTCTTAAAAGATTTTAAGTTGTACTTTCACCAAATGTTTGGTTTTGACTTTTTCAGAAGTTTTTAGTTTTTATTGATAGCAGGTTCAGTGCAAACTGCAGAACTTGAAATATGTATGATGCTTTTTTTTGTAAAGATTCCAACAATTTTAAAATATAACTTTCTCAATAACTATTTACAATACTAAGTTTTGTGACATTTCTTACGCAGATAATTAGCTTGAAGATTGTGAAAGCAATGTTTTATGCATATAGTTTTACAAAACTTGAAAGAATGATTATCATAAATAAATTGCATTAACAAGATAAAACATCAATGTGTATGCCTTGTTATTTTGACCAGCATAGTCATCAGGGTTTTTATACTCACATGGTTTGGACCATTGTACCTTCCAGCTTGTGGATGTGCAGATGGTGTAATGAAATCTGAGAGCCAAATTTGAATTCCAGACAGGTTCATTACATTGACTTACTTTTGGGGAAGGTAAGAATCAATCCCCTCTCCCAGCTAGGAGTTAAATAGTGGGACTTGTATGTGGGGAAAAAAAAAAAAAAAAAAAAATTCAATGCAAAATTCACTTTCTTTTTTTAAATCACTTCAAACAGAGCAACTAACTCAGAGACTTACTGAGTGTGAAAGAATATAAGAAAATCATTAAAGAGTGAAAACAATACAAGACTATGATCAACATTGATCTTCAAAAATTTAAATGCAAACTTGACTGGAAAGCAAGAAGGTGGAAGAGAGTTCCACAAATGAGAAGTGCTACAGAAAAAACTTTACATGTAACCGTAAGTTGCATGTTAACATTTCAACTGTAAAATGAAGAGATATTGCTGCCAATTTAGTATTGCACTTAAATTCCTAAAGTCTAGGTACCTATGAGAAAAATTACTATGAAAGTATTTATAGAAAAAGGCATAGAGAAGCTACATTACAGCTGTGGGAAAGTGACTGAAGATGAGTTGCCAGGTTAGAACCAGTGATATTTCAGATTATTCTTTAGATCTTATCAAAGCACCAGAACAAATGTGGCAGCAATATTCTAAATATGGAAGAATTATAAATATGTAAGATAGATTCTAGTGAGAAAATTTTCTAGCAGTGGAAAATGTTAGCCCAAGAAGGAACAATGAATCACTTTCCAGTAGGTTAGCATCAGCCATTCTTATAATGCAAAAATGTTTCAGCTTTAAATAATTCACAACCAACCCAAAGGTGAAAAGAAACCTATCTATTCTTGTTTGGTTCAGAATTCTAAGAAGGGAATCAAGTATAATGACAATGAAGAAGGCTGGAGACTACAACAGCCAAAACATAACCAAGATATAAACAGGCTCATCTTATGAACATGTATAAGGCAGATAAGATTGATATTATATGTTAACAAATTAATCAGTCAGTAAGAGTTTGATTTTAAAATAATGTAACAAAATGCTTGATCTTAATTATCCCATTATGCTTGGTAGACTTGGTTGTCATTTTAACTGACTTTACTTAATGACTCAACTGTAGAGTAATTGGCAGAAATGCCCAACAAACAGAATTGACAAAGTTTGCACTAAACAATGGCAAAAGAAAGAAAAGAGCAGAGCAAAAATAATATTGAACAAACAATATATGCAAGACAAAGCAACAGTAATAAGGCAAAAAGTTTAGAAACTAAGAATGGTGTTAATACACTAAAAGAGATACAGACAAGTAATCACTGCATTCTGACTTAAAGACAGTCTTATTGGCTAGGAAGAAATCTCAGCATGCATCTGTATGTTTTGTCTATAAATTTGGGATGAGGGAGGTTTTTGCAGTTATTTCTTTACAGAATTTTCTGCAGCAATGTCAGGGAGGATTATCATCACTCAGTTGTCTATTTGTCCACAGATAGAGCCACAACTGAGACGCAGATGAGGAAAATAAAAACTGTAAAGTGACTGATCAGAGAACAATGAATTGAGGTTGACCATATTGCACTAGAGTGTGGTGGGGATCAGTAGTCATACTGATGGTTGCAGGAGCTGGGCAAATTTTGTCTTTGGCCTGAGTGTTTACACTCAGGTTCCCCACATTAAACCCAACCTTGTGTCACATCTTATCTCAGTGAGGAGACTGGGGTTAATAACCAGCCTTTTACAGGATTGGAACCAACAATAAGACAGACAATTTAAAATTTGGTCTATAAGTTAGCATATCATTTTTATCATGTCTGAATATTTCAAATTTTTCCCCACTCATCAATGATTATATTAGAACAACTAGTTTTTCTTACAGGTGAAGTTTCTGATTGGGACAAAGGAATTGTGATTGATGATCTTCCTATCATTACTCCAAATGGTGATGTTATTGTATCAAAACTCTCCCTGAATGTGAGTTAATTACTTCCTCACCTTTCTTACCCATCAAGAGATTATAGATTTATAAAAATCCATGATAAATTCTGTATTCTATACCTTCAACAAGCAAATTTTTCAAACTCATAAAATTGTACACAGAAATTGTTTTTGTAACTTAAAAAAAATAAAAAATAATTTACCTGGACATTGGTCTTAATAGTAATATTGTTTTGAAACATTTAGCTTGTATCTGTGGTTTTAGCCATGCAAAGCAAAGTTGCTTTGTTTTAGATGTATTGCTTAAATAAAATTAGTAAAGAAGAAAATTAGAGCAGTTCCTTGCATGAAAAACTCTTGAAAGATTTTCCTTAATTTGCAACTATGATTATCTTTCTAGATTATACCAGGAACCCACTTGCTCATTACGGGTCCAAATGGGTGTGGCAAGTCTTCTTTATTCCGGATTCTAAGTGGACTATGGCCAGCTTATAAAGGAAGTCTGCAGAAGCCCCCTACTCATCGAATGTTTTACATTCCACAAAGGCAAGTATCTTAGGCTTAAGTATAATTTTTGTATATATTTAAGAAAAGCAGAAATTAACCTTTTTGTGTATTTCCCATTGGCTGACATTCTTCTATAGAGTAATGTATTTTCAAGCAATTCTCGTGTAGTCAGCAACCGTTTTTTTTTTTTTTTTTTATTTATTTATTAAATATGAGCATTTTATTCCTCTTTGGTAAGTTCAAGATGTTACAAGGATAGGCTATGTATACATAATAAACACACACCAACTATAGTTACTGAGATGGAAAATGGTCAAGATGAGAATGCCAAAGAATCCTCATTGAGGGGGAAAAAATATCAAGTGTGCTGAGAACGTGCTTGATAGCCTTAAAAAAAACAAAAAAAAACAGTAGGTGCATAATGCTAAAAAGAAAAATAGTGCTCAACAATACCAAGCCGTATAAGACCCCATATCAAAATTTCAATAAAATACAAATAAGCAACACTTAAGGAAGTACAGTACAAAGGCAAAACAAAAGAAAAAAAAAAAAAAAGAGGCTCAATGCTACATTTAATGGCAGAACATTAATATTTGGAAATAAATTCTCAGTGAACAGTAACTGACCACAACTAAAAGTATCAAGTGTTTCAAGTAGTCTGCAACTGTTTTTTGTTTAAATGCACATAACCGCCCCTCCCCCTCATTAGTTACACTTGTAACATCTTGAATTTACCAAAGGAGCAAAAAAACTGTTACCAACTACCTGATGATTGCTATAGTTGTGGTTAGTCATTGTTCACTGTGAATTTAAATTATATAATATTAATACAAATATAAAATTGGTCGCTGAACTAATTGATGTTATATTCAGCAAGCAAATTCCAGAGTTTTGTAAGCAAAACTTTTTGTAATTATTTGGTCCACTTGTCAGGAGGTTTCAGCAATTGACTCTTGATTTTCTCATTTTTGTTATATTTTTATTACACATACACACACTGTGTGTGTGTGTGTGTATATATATATATATATATATATATAATTACATTTTTCTGGATCTCATTTAAAAAAACATACGAAGCACATTTTTAATAAAATCCAGATGGCTAAATTGTATTTCAGTTGAATGTTTAAGTATATCTTATATATAAAGTACAGTGTTTGTGTGTCCAACCAACTCCTCTGCTCCCACTGGTCTGATTTCAATGATTCATAGCTCATTCAAAAGCCCTAGAAAAGTTAGGTGCAGGGAACAATTTTCGTTGAGCTCAGATTCAGGGCAGCCAGATTATGTGAGGTTAAAAATATGTATTAATATATTATACTAACCATTATCATGGTTTAAGGGGAGTAACTCTTATTTTACTTTTGTATCCAAAATTGCAGTTAGCTATTGGGCAGCATTTAAGTGGAAGACTCTTGTTTTAGCCATCATCACAATAGCTTGAGAGGAGTAGATGTGATAGGCATCTATAAACTACAGAAGAACTCAAAATTGATTGCTGCAATTAAGTATTGAATTAATGTTTAAGCTTACCTTTTAAAAGTTCAACGATAATTCTTCTACTGACACTTAATTTAAAGACGATTTAATGTACGTAGATCCTTATTTTCCGTATGAACAATTATTTTTATTTAATGGGTGACAGAACAGGGGACAATTTATAAGATAAAATTAATATAGTGTAAAGATGGGAAAAACAGAAATTAGAGTTAGTTATACATTCAACATCTGAAGAGTTAGAGAAACATAATAGCTAATTAAGTAAAACCTATATTATGGAAGCTATATAAATAAGTGTGAAATTGGAGCTCAATTCTCGCACGAATTCTAAGATTAAAAAGCCCTAGCTCTACTTTATAGTAATTTGGTATTTACACCTCCCCCCCCCCACCCGACTAAGTTTCCTTGTGATACAAGGTCAGTTTAATGTGGGGAGCCCGAGCGCATACACCTGGGCTAGGAACTAAATTGCCCACAGCCCCCGCAACCATTGGTATCACTGACCTCGGTGCATGCAACAATCTCTTGCTAGTGTAATGAGAAGGCGCAGCCTTGGGTAGCTGTTCACCAGGGCTGGGCACCTCTCAGTCTAATTTTCCTCAGTTGTGAATGTCCTTTGACGGAGTTGCCCTTGAGTGCACTCAGACTACTTGAGAGAGAGTAATTTGCATTTACTTTAATGTATATGTCATGATAGTAAATAAATAATTACAAGGAGATCAAACATTCACCATCTCCAAAAAAATAGATTTATATTCAGAATTGCTAGGCTATGATGTCATATTTTGACTCACCAATCAGAACCCATCTTGACTAGCATACAAATATTCTTGTCTAGTGAGCAAATCAATCAGAATATAAGGTTGCCAATGAGAAGCTAAGTGGCACTTTTGCACACTGCAAAAACAAAAAAAAAAGGAAAAAAAAAGAGTGCTCAATACCATAAGAAATATCAGAGCTTTAATTAAATTAAACTACAGCCACCAACCACCTTATTTCATAGAAATTTTCAATTGCTTCTTGGCATTATTCCTTGGGGAAACTTAAGTTTGTAAAGTTTGAATTTGCCTTATCTTGAATTAAATTAATTTGATGGTTCTTGTTTTCTGCAGGCCTTACATGTCAATTGGCAGTTTAAGGGACCAAGTGATTTACCCTGACACAGTAGCTGATTTTAAGAGGAAAGAGATGACTGATGCCAATTTAGAATCCATTTTGTCTATTGTGCATCTACAACATATTGTTCATCGAGAAGGAGGTGAGTAGCAATTAATCATAAACTGTTTCATGATTTGTCTAAAGTAATTTAGTTTATCTTCTTATAATAATTTATGATCTCCTTTTTCTTTCCTAGGCTGGGACTCTATATGTGACTGGAAAGATGTCTTGTCTGGTGGAGAGAAACAAAGAATGGGTATGGCCAGGCTTTTCTATCACAAGTTAGTAGCAATTCATCTTAAATTTCTTGCCTTCATGTGTAACAAAAAATGAATAAAACCCGAAGAGGCTAGACAGTGGGATGTTTGTTGGCTTATATATCAAGGAGCTTGGTTGCATGGCATAGAGCCAAGTAAAAGAGGGTGAGACAGATTTCACTGCTCTAGTATGCTGACCACTACCCAGGCTACATGATTGATATTTGAAATGATGGTTTACAAACCCCAAAACTATGCCAAAACTATATTTGTATAAAAAAAGAAAGCCATGTTAAAAGTGAGATTAAGAATTTGATTTTACTATCCTGACTTAACAAGAAAGATGGATCAATGAATCTGGATCAGTAAAACTGAAAATATTTCTGACATTTCTGTCCTGCTTCAACCTAGGAAATCAGTCCTCACTCATTAGCATGGAATTTCTGACATTAACCCTTCAGAAAAGGGTTCAAGATAACAATATGGGCTGAGGAAGGAGAGCTTTCAACTAGAAAGAATGTTCACTGGAGTGATCTGTGTAGTGACTGAGTTCATTAGGTCTGTTTGAAGCAAAGAGGATGTTCAGTCTTCTGATAATCTCAGTTTGAACCTAATTAGAGGATACAGGTCAGGTCATGTTTAAGCCTGCTACTGGTTACAGCCTGCCACATGTATCTGTCAAAGGGTGGATAAGCTTCTTATAGGAGCCAACATACACACACACATATACAAGTAAAAATTGGTCACTTATTTGATTGATGTTACCATCAGAATCCTGACACCAGAGTTTTGTTGGTGGTGGACCTGTCTGTCCACTCTTCAGGAAAGGGTATATCATATATATATATATATATATATATATATATATATATATATATAATGTGATGTGTCTCAAGCCTTGAATGGCAACCTTCCTAGAGATGGTTTCAATAAAAACACTGTGTTTGACTGCCGTGTGTGTTGGGCATCAGGAAGCACATCTGACCTTGTAAAAGACCCTCTGTCTGGCAGGACCCATCATGCTATGTGTGTAATTATTCCCAGTCATGCCTCAGAAAAAAAAAATAAAATAAAAACATGGCTATGTATGTGTATATTGGGATAGTATCCAATTTGTTAGCATTTTGACCAGTAAAGAGCCTGAAGTGAGAGGTAATAGTGTCATACATGTATTAGTGCATCAGGTAATGTAAAAAAAATGTTCAAGTTACCATTTCGGTTGTATTTTTATAAGATTGTGTAATTTGCTTAAACTATTGTCAAGATGCTGATATCAAAGAATGGTATACTTACCCATTTTATATCACAGGCCTCAGTTTGCTTTGCTGGATGAATGCACAAGTGCAGTGTCCATTGATGTGGAGAGCAGCATCTACCAAAGAGCCAAAGATGAAGGTATCACTCTCCTTACCATTACACACAGACCAACATTATGGTAAGTTGATGAGATCAAGTCCTCTCTTAGATAGGTGTACATCTGTATAGAGATAAAAGCCTTCAATTTATTTACTTTGGTAAAGAGGAGAATTTAAAAAAAAAAAAAATGTAAAACAGTAAAAAGTGAGATTTCACGTCTAGTTTGGTTGTGGCTGTTGTAGAAAAAGAAAAAAAAAACACTGAGTGTTGTTTTCTTTCTTCTCACTAATATTTTTTATGGTATAACTTGTTTTTAAATTCTAATTTATACACTACAGGAAGTTCCATTCTCATTTGCTTCAATTTGATGGTGAAGGCGGCTGGGTGATGGAGGTATTAGACACAAATGCAAGGCTTTCTCTGAATGAGGAAAAGCAGCAATTGGAGAAACAATTAGCTGGAGTGCCAAAGATGCACCAACGGCTGCAAGAACTTTGTTCAATCCTGGGAGAAAACTCTGTAATCTTGGATAAAGAGTTACCTTCATGTGGTGCTGGCCTTGACAAAGAAGGACTGTCTGATAACCCCTAAAAGAATTCAGTAAGTACATTCTTGAAATTGTCTTTAGAGTCAAGAAAAATTAGAAAGCCTATTGCAATATATTGATTCAATTTTCTAGTATGCAATTGGCTAATTAATAAATTATGAAATGCTTTCTTGGTTATCACTTGTGTGTGTGTGTGTGTGTGTGTGTGTGTGTGTAAGAATTCAGTTTAAAGTTTTTAATTTTTACACATTATCCCAAAAGAAATTTTAATCTTATTTTCTGTGAAAAGCAATTAAAGAAGTATTTAAAAGTTTGAATACTTCTTTATCATTCTTGTTTATTTTATACTTAATTTTTTTTTTTTTTTTTTGGTTGCAGGTCTTTCAAACAAACTTTGATTTGGCTATGACATGTTGATGCATGGAAAGGCAGTGACTCAGATACACATAAGTATATACAATGGAACCTTTCAGTATTAATAAATTGAACAACCTCAACCAAAGAGTCTTTGGAATGCAAGAAAACTAAGCATTCAGGTTCAAACTTACTATTTACCTTGGAAATCAGATTTTCTTTTACCACCCCATATTTTCCAACTTAGCATGTGTCTTCCACAAACATTCTTTCAACATAGATATCACAAAAAATGTTATCATCACTTGATTTTTCTTCTGTCTACCTGGAAATGTAGTTTAGGGTTGTGAGAAAATTTATTGACTTTAGACAAACATAATTCACAACAAAGCAGCAAAATACATACAATATTATTTTGAGAGGAGTTACTATCATTCCCAACCCTACTATATCCCTTCAGTTTAGCCAAATCCTTTCACAGAAAGTTGTTGGAGGGATGAGGATACTGACAGATTTCTCCCTCATGATTTTTTTTCTTCCATATTTGCATGGAATCTTAAATAGGCTATCACCCCCCCCCCACACCGATGCCTTAAACTTACTCAAAGATGCTATTTCCAGTTTTGTTATTTGCCTGATGCTGAAGATAATTAAAATTCAGTTATTACTGTGTATCGAAATCAACATAAAAATGCTTAAGAGAAAAAAGTTATCCACCATCAACTGTGTCCTTATGATATAAGGAAACTTGTGCATTTGCTCAGTAAGGAGAAAAATGTTATCTATGTACCTAAGCTAAATTAAAAACGTTTACATTAAAATCCTCTAAAGAATGATGATAATAAAAATCAAATGCTTGACTCCGAGTGAAGTTTATGACAAAAGGTTATATATGTAATAATTCAAATGTGAAAAGAGAAAGCAGTAACTCCTTGAAGGAAGAAGGTACTATCCTGTTTGGGATGAGGTCAAAGTCATTAAAGAGCATTACAGTAAGAAATATTTAGGCTAGCCTGGCGTTGTAGGCAAGGAAAATATTGAAGTGTAACTCCATGTATCAAATATAGAAGCTTGCTGTTAAGTTGCCAATTTGGTTTTTTTCCACCACTTGAAAAGCGGTGGGGGTGTGACCTTTTGTTATATACATTGCACACCTGGGAAAGACCCTAGATGTTAAAATAGTGTGGAAACAACAAAACTGGGAAAGAATCTTTTTTTTTTTTTTTTTGTCACAAAACTTTGTAGAATTGGGCACCAAAAATTATTCAGTCTTATATTTCTCACAAAACATTTTAAATAAATTTCTTTTAAAATTTCACATAAATTCACTAAATTTTCTTCTATAAAATGCTAGCAAAATAGGTAGCAATTTTTAAAAAATTGCATTGAATTAATTTGCATGTGTGACATATGCGAATCAGACATTATTGGGAAAGTAAAATCCTTAATTTCATCTAAGTCACTTTTTATGGAAGGGAACCAACTGCCAGATTCCATCTGCCTTTGTCCATTTGGAAAACATGGATGGATACAGATTTTTCAAACTACCAGAATTATTAACCCTGGTGTGAAAAAGAGTTTCATTTATTTGTTGGCTGAACAAGAATTGTTGAACATTGTATATTTAAATGAGTAGCTAAATTTATTTCTGCTTCAGGACCTGGCAATTTACAAGGAATTGTTTCCAACCCAACAATGATCCCCACCCTCTCTGGTTTGGTAATATCTATCTTGAATTTTTACTTTAAAAAATTCAAATCTTTCACTTTTATCAAATAAAAATCATTCAAAAATTAATTTTTTTTGTCTGCTTTTGTATCTGCAAGTTATGAGTTGTTCAATAGTCTACACAACATGATTTTGTAAAATTATTAGAAACAGAAAATGTTACTTGCAGTAGAAATGAAGGGAAAGAATTATTGTTATTGGTCTAAGGGCGATAACTGCGATTCTACAGTGAACAAACGCGAGCCTGTGTGATATCTAAGAAAAAGAAAAAAAAAATGTTCGCATTTTATGATTTTCTAAGCGTAGCATAAATGTGGCACATGGTATAGAGCACCCAGTGAGGATCAAACTTACAACTTTGTCATAATTGTTTTAGTGAGACAAGCTTGTTAACCATTACACCACTTTGAGGTGCCCTAGGCAAGACATTAGATGAATGCTATTATATATTTTTCTAACATCAGTATGTGGCACCCACTGATGATTGAACTTACTGTTCAGTTGTAACTGATCGAGCGAGACAAGCTTGCTAACCATTACACCATATTGAAATTCCCTAGTGCTTGTATTGGTTTCCATCTTGTAGATGGAATCTTGCTGCTGGTTTAAAATACACCTGAACCATTGGAGGAGGTGGTTGTCAATCAGAACAGGCAAAAGATTTGTATGAACTTTTGGTTATTAGAGAATAAAATCCTTACCTTATTTTTTTTATATTCAAAGATGTAATTTTCAACAGAAAATAAGCCATTATATCTTTAAATTTTGGGAGTTCTTCAATTGACTCAAACTCTTATGAAATAAAATGTGGACTTTTTAAGCATTCTTCCTACAAAGAGAAAAAAGTCAGACCTTTTAATTTTCAAGCAAACATTCTCATTTGTATATTTTAGTTTGAGTTAGGAAATATACATTTTATTATCTAATCTTTATACAAATCTTTGGATAATAAAAAAAAAAAGAATCTAAACACAATATAGAAAGCAGCAAAATTATATTTAATGGGATTGCAGATTTAAACTGCAGCTGTTTTTATTTGGTCATTATCCTACATTAGAAATAGATTTGACAAGTTATTGCCAAAGAATTTATTACAAATTTTTACTATAATTGGAATGATTTAGTTTAAAAGAAGCCTGTAGGCAAGAGACTGTAGAGTGATTTTCTAAGTGTAGCATAAATGTGACACAAAAGTATAGAGCACCCAGTGAGGATCAAACTTACAACTTTGTCATAATTGTTTTAGTGAGACAAGCTTGTTAACCATTACACCACTTTGAGGTGCCCTAGGCAAGGCATTAGATGAATGCTATTATATATTTTTCTAACATCAGTTTTTTTTTTTTTTTTTGGTTGTTTTTTAATGTATTGGAAGCACTATTTATATTCCTACTACTTACATGCACTTTTCATTTCAGTTATTTGAAATGGATTTAATTAATTCAGATTATTTTTTTAAAATAATTGGTTTTGGCCATTTAGACAGTAATCTGACTGAAATCTGTAAGTACTTGAAACCAAAAGCTTTTTTTTTTTTGACAAATGTTATATTTAGACTTCATATTTGTAGAAATAAATATGATGCAGTGAATAATTTTCCAGATATTGAAGAAGAAAAAAAAACATGAAGTGGATTGATAATGAAATTAGTTATCAATTTGCCCTAAATCTTATTGAAATTTCAGCCAAAATCTTTTAAAATATAAATCTCATATTTATCTGCAAGAGGTTTTATTTCTGTAAGAGTTTAGTTATTTTTTGCATGTATCAAGTTTGTTTCTCTTGGTAAGATTGAGGAGTTATACCCCCTCCTCCTTAAACTTTGATAAAATGTCTGCAACAAGCTTAAATTGCAAAGTGGATTCTTGAATTTTTTCCTCTTTTTTATTCTAATTGTTATATTTAAAAGATTTTTAAAAAATAGTGAGGACATTTTACACGTTTTAGAGAGCAAAATTAACATTTAGAAATTTCTATAAAAATATTACATACCTTGTAACTCAATTCTGACATTCTTCTGTTCAACATTAGCAGCAAATATAAATTAAACAAATTTTAAAGCCGAGTTTTCAGATATCTTGAGAAATGGCAAAGTTCTCACTACTTCCAGAAACACACAAAAAGAGAATTGATAAAAAAAAAAAAGAAAAAAAAAAAAAAAGAGACCTTTACAATTGAATAATAAAGTTAAAAAAAAAAAATCAAAACATTTAAAAAATCTTGGTTATAAATATTTTATTGCAAAAAAATTCTCTCTATTTGATATTTTCCCATACTTTTTACAACAAATGACAAAAAAAAAAAATGTTAGGAACTTTGGTCCATGTCCTTATGAATTGCCAAGCAAATATCACATGATACAGAGAGAGAGAGAGAGAGAGAGAGAAAAAGCCTCAGTTCCAAAAATATACATGCTGTAAATATAAATGTTGGACAACCAATTCCAAAGGAAGAACTGGGGAGCCAGTTTGAAGCAACAGAGGAAATATCATCCCAATTGAAGCTACGGGCCTTATGAAATAATAATAATAAAAAGCAGGCAAAAGAGAAAAAGAAATGATGCACAAATTAAATGGAACATTAGCTTCATCACCCCTTTATTTTTTTGGTGGGGGTGAGTGAATAGAAAAGTAATATTTTGTTGGTAGGGTGACACAATTTACTCTTAAAATAAGATAATGGATTTTTTTTTTTTTTTTTTTTTTTTTAAATACACAAAAACTTTTAACTAAAAACATGATTACTTTCAGATTTCTATTGCTGACACAAGGCAAAAAAAAAAAAAAATCTTTGTTTCCAGAACAACCAAACTCTGATACATTTATTCATTATTCAGGAAACATACCTGCAGAGAAATTTTTAAATCAAGAGAAAAGGTATTCAAACTCCTGAAATCCTTAACTCTTAGTTACGTGTTGGGAGGGAGACAGGATGAGTGATCAGCCATTATTCACCACAGTAAATAGTTTTTAAACTTGCTATTAAAAAAAACTATATATATTTATATATATATATATAAAAAACAAAGTTAAAATATTTCTAAATTTTTCTTTTTCCAAATGTTTAAAATCATAAATATCAAATTTTCTTTCATCACAGTTGCTTTGTATAAAGTTAATCCAAACATTGTGTGAGGTTTTGAATTTGTCTTCCTAACAAGACTCAAATCCAGAACCACAAACAAACCAAAAGCCAGGCAATCATGTTCTGATGGCCAAAGGCCTCAACATAATAAATGCTCAAGATTTGCATTGATGTGTGATTGAAACATTACTATAGAAGTCTTCGAAAGGCAACTGCATCAATTGGAAGTCTGATCTTGAATCGTAGGCAATCTGAAAGATTGTATTTGGTAAAAGTAGACAAAGTTTGTTCTTGAAATACTTCATGTCATCCAAAAATATTCACTTTACCACACAGGAACATAGATGAGAATATAGTTAGAATAAAGTCAGTTATGATGTTTAGTGGGAGCTGAGAAACTGTAGTCCCTGAAATAGGGTTGGTCACAATTTACCTATTTCATCAAGTACATTGCTAAACAAAACAAGTTTGTTTGTCTTGCGAAAAAAAAGAAAAAAGAAAAGCAAATATACAAGAATATACCACTTTACCAAGGCAATTTTTTTTATCCAGATCTGACTGACCATCAGCAAAGCCATGTAAAAGACATTCATAAAATTTAAATGCATTCTCTCAGGCTCAACTAGGAGCTTAAATAGTTAAGAACTCCTTGAAGTAGACATTTTGACATGCACCCAGAAAAACCGTCTTTAAATTTGCCCAGAGGACAAGGACAGATTGTAAAATCCAACAATGCTAACATCACTTTGCATTGCAAGATAAAATATATTCCATGCATTAATAAGTACTTTTCCTATTGGACTAAAAATATCAATAGGAATAAAAAAAAAAAAAAAATAAAGATAGAAGCTTGACCTGGAAGGAACCCATCTTTGTGTGCTTAAAATAAGATAACGTGAAAAGAATTATGTGATGATCTTGTACCAGCAATAGAACTGAAAGAGGGAACATTAAAATAATCAAAGATTTTTTTCGTTTAGGTCTCCACCTCTCTATTGTGAAAAAGAGAGCAGCAAATTATAAAAAAAAAAAAAAAAAAAAAATAAGTAAAAGTCCATGGTAAATATTAATTAAACCTTTCAAAGAACAAACATGGACAAGAAATTTTGAAGAACAAAACCAAATTTTTATTAAAATTTAAAAAGTAGTCAGCCAATTTGTGAATGGAGAATCAAAATTTTGTTTGGTCTTCATTTTCATGTCCAGATTGTTTGGGGAATGGACTCGTAGCTTTTTTGGGAGAGTTCCAAGAAATGGTTTGATAAGTTCATTGCCAGGATCAAACAATTCTTTTTAAATAAGTGCAGTAAGTTAGAGGAAGAAGTTGCCTCTCTGGTTGGGAAGGCCAGAGGCAAAAAAAAGGGTCTAAAGGGAGAAAAAGGTAAAGTGATTGTCCAACAAAGTTCTTTTTTTTTTTTCATCACTTTTTGCCAGTTTAAAAGGATTTTTACATTCAACTCCAAAACTGTACATTCAGGAATGTATTTTAATCTGCATAAAAATTCAAGGAATTTGGACAACCATAGAATGAAGGATTGTCTTTCAGTGTTGGTTTTTAAGGTAATTAATTTGTTTTCAAGAATTTCATTTTGCACAAAAAACATTTTTTTTCAACAGAAAAATATCTAAGCTTGTAAATTGTGTCACAGTGCTATGCACAAATTCTATTGTCTTTCAAGAATAAAATAAATACCACTTCTAGTTTATATATTCACTGGGGGCTTAACAGGTTCATAGGAAAAATAAAAGTTTGCTCTTAAAGGAAAAAAAAAAAATTCTCTTACATTTTAAAAAACATCCAGTCACATTTTTCTCTTCTCGGTTAATTACTTCATTTAAATCTCACGGGTTCATCCATTTTAGGTTTGGCTAAACAATTTCTTTTCAAATTTGGAGAGAAACAAGATAGACAAAACTTATGAATTCTACAGATTAGTCTAAGAATTGGTATTCAAAATTTTATTATTTCATGTGGGTAAATTAGTCTTTCAAGAAGGATATGAACAATGTTAAAAAAAAAAAGGTTGGGGGATAGATTATGAAATATCACTTGGTATTTTACCCCCTGCCACCCCACCCACTGGGACTGTTTCTTTGATTTACAAAAAGGAGGGAAATGATTCACTAATTGCTGAAAATGATTTCAGTAAACAAAAAGAAAAAAAAAAGGTACAATTTTTTTTTTTTTTTCCCCACATTTAACAAAAAAAAATTTTTTTTTTTTTCAATTTGAACAAAAAGATTTCAGTGGAAATTTAATGAAAGATGAAACGACTGTAATTATAGCCATTTGCAGGTATGGCTATGAGAACTTCGACCAGCAAGGAACTTGGAGAAAAATTCACAACAATGGTGGAGTCGGGGGGAGGGGGCGTTGAGGGAAGAAAAATGTCATCAAGTCTCAGAATACATTCACGCACACACATTACTCAAAAATTCTTTTTTTTTTTGTGATTCCTTTCTTCATCAACCAGTGCCTATTATCAAGCAAACATTGGACTGACACAATTTTCTTTTGGCAAAACACAAGTCAAGAAGCACACAACCTCAATTGCATAAAGAAATTGCAACAAAGATCCTACCTTTTATTGGATAAAGGTTTTTTAATGGACATAAGAGAAACTCAAATCTACATGTTGCATACATTGCTCATTCACCATTTTTTTTCTTAAACTTATATAAGTTTAAGGAAAAATAAGCTCTTTTACAAAAAATTTCAAGTAAATTTCTCTTTGCTAATTTGAGATTTCAACTTGGTCATTTCTGCTTTAAGGTATGATAATAAATGTTTTTTCTTTTAAGTACAAATTTATGGAAAGCTCAAAATATTTTATAATTTTTTGATATTTTTAACAAAGTATGAGTAACAGAATATTTGGACTGTTTTCAACAAATAAGCCAACTATAAAACATGTAATCAAAACAAAATTGATATAAAATAATAGAAATTATTTAAATGAAACAAATGGCAACATGTAAAATAAAACTATCCAATATAATTGAAGAAAACAAAAAAACATCAATGTCTGTAGAAAGAAATGAAATCAATATCCCCAGGCTCAGAGGCTGAAGACTCAAGGTTTCAAGCTGTTTCACAGAAAAAAACACTTTCAAAATAACTTAATACTTGGAGAATAAATCTAAATTTCTCATCAAGTTTGCTTAGGTTTTTAGAATTTTTAAATAAAAATATTTTAGTACTGATTTTTGTATTCCATGCAATATTGACACTTGACCTCTGGACAGTCTTGCTTTACATTAGACAATTAGCATTTGGCTTTAAAAAAACAAAAACAAAAAAATAACCAGTAACACTTGGCACTGGTGTAGAATTTAATTTCAACCAAACAACAATTGATTTGTAATTGCATTTAATGGCTACAGGAAAATGTTTTTAGAAAAGTCGGTTGTGGTAGCGATTAGTATATTATAGTCTTTAATTTGTGTTGCTACATTGTAATAAATGAGTAGAGATGATTATGCTTGATTTGAATCATACAGAAAAGCATGACTATTTAAAAACATAAAAAATTAAGAAAAACGTGGATGGGAGATAGGATGTGAAGAAACATTTTGGTTGATGTCAACTTAACAGCAGGGCAATTGGAATTAATCTTCAGATGGCAAAAGATGCAGAGAAGTGGTGGGGGAGAAAAAAAAGGTTTCATGCTTATGTTGCCTTTTCTTCCCTTGTTTAAATTGGAGTACTCAAAGGATTTGAACATATAAAAATTTACAGATGTTTGTGGGTAGGTCAAAAGAATTTTCACACCTAACTCCTAAAATTGTTCTGTCAGCTATAAGGCATTTTTCTAGATATAAAAAAAAAAAAAAAAAAAAGGGAATCTGTTTATGCTGGATTGAATCCACATGGTTGAAATCAAAACTCAATAATTTGGGCAAATAAGAGCATTGAATTTTCATTGGAAAGTAACATTCAATACAAATGCCAATTTCTGACAAGCTGCATAAATTATTTAAGCAAGCCTCATAAGTAAAAAGGGATATTTTTCTTTTTTATTTAAATCTAAGAAAAACCCAAAAGTTAAAATAATATTATCTATTAAAAGGACAAATAACACCCGATAATTCTTGGGAGACTGTTGTTTAAAATATAACACGAGATTCCAGCTTTTGTCTTTCATTTTTCAGTGCATTGAATTCAAAAATCTTAAAAACAATTTTTCTCAAATGAACATCTGTTCTCTGGCCTATTCAAAAAAAAAAAAAAAAAAAAAAAAAAATGTAACAGGCAGGTAAGAATTGCAATCTACCTGAACATTTCCACACTACACAGATCTTGCACAACTGTAAATTAACAGAGAACCAGGGACAAAAAAAAATAATTTTAAAATGTGGCAAGATTTATGCTTCAGGCATAATTTATTTAGATTCTTTCAAAGCTGCATTTTTCCAATATTTGGACAAACTGTGTTTACACCATCCCCATTTTTTTTTTTTTTTTTTTAAGATGAAGAGAAAAAGTACAGAATTTTTCCTATTCAATAAAATCACTTGTCAGAATTTACAAAACTATTTTGACAGTCATCTTGCCACCATTTAAAAAAAAAAGAAAAAGAAAAGAGAGCGTGGGGGGGGGAGAGCAAAGGAGGAAGAAAAGAAATAAGGAGGAAGGAAGGAAAAGAGAGAAAGAGTGAAGGGAGCACCAGTGAGGGAGCCTTAAAAAAAAAAAAAAAAAAAAAAAAAAAAAAAAAAGGACACTTGAAGGGAGCACTAAACTATAGTAAAAACAAAAACAAGACAAAAAGCTTATTGCAAATAGTAAAAGGGTCTGTCACTTGCGTGATGGAAGAGATGAAATATTATCAATTGTCATTTGAAGAAATTAGTAGAAAAAGTTTCAATTTTACTAACTGAAAATTAAAAATGGGCTTCACAAACAAAATTTTAGTAGTTTTAAACCCTTAAAAATGAGATTATCAAAAAATACAAAATAAAAAGTAAACCAGTTGTCAGTGAAAAAAGTGAATAACGGGGCACTGAATAAAATAGAGATTTTATAAAAATTTATGGAAGAAAACTTGTCATTTTTTTTCTAACAAAATTTATTAATGTGGAAGGGAAAAAAAATTCTTTTGGAATGAGAATATAAAAAGAAAAATTACAAAACTGTCAAATAGTAAAATTATAAAAAAATAGTTGAGAAAAAAATGCAGGTTAATATTGAATTGAAAGGCAAAAGAAAAAAAAAGTACATAAAAAAAATCCCAACCTTAATTTGAAATTTAGAAAAAAAATCATAAAAATATTCAAGAACAAAAGATAAAATCCCCAAAAGAAAGGAACCCCAGTGCATGGCAGCAGCAAGAGTAGCAGCAGCATGTCCCAAATTGGCCAATCTTGTGGCCTGGACAGAAAAAGCTGACCAAGAAAGGGAAAGTTAGGATATCGAGTAAATGAGGCACAGAATAAGTGGTTCACAACACCAGCAATTCATTTGCTTTTGTTTGTTTCTGTTTTTTTTTGTTTTTTTTGTTTTTATTTTTCCACTTCCTTCCATCATCATGGAGATTTAGGGTTTGTGTTAGGTTTATCATCATCCTTGGCAGTTGAGGGCCACTATTGAATTGTGAGCTGCCATCAGCATCTGCCATCACAGTTCCATCAGTTGGCAATACCAAATGTATTTGGGGGTCCATTAATCGACAGGAGTGTGCCAACTGTGAAGAAAAGAACAGCCAGATTTGTTGGGGACAAAAATAATGTCTCAACAAAATTGTCAGTTGCCTATGAGCAAGCATCCAGAGAGCAGCCGTTATGTGGCCTTGCTTGTCTTTTTCTCTGTTAACAGTTGCTCTCTCTCCAAAATGTCCGCACTTACATAATCATTGTCCCATTCAAGGTCATTGGAATTAACTGGACTAACTTGCAGGATTTCTTGAGCAGCCAATGCCACCAAATTTTCTTCTGTTGCAGAACGTGGAGCTTTCTGAGGCACAATGCCTGAAAATAGAAACATTTCAAACCAGTTCAGAAGAGGGAAAAGGCAATTCTGATCATGCAAACAACATGTCCATTTGAAAACTTTATCAGTAAAAACACCAATTCATAAAAAGGAAGTAGAATTTTTCTGAAAATTATTTATGTTGATTCCCTGTTGATTCTGATAGAAATCATCTAATTATTTTAAAACTAGTTTATCATTAATGGATATTTAACAAATATCAATAAACAGACATTTAAGCTCAACTTTCATTTTCCCTGCCAAATAGCTTAATGCGCATAACATGGTTATTGTGCTGCCTACACTAAACAATGGAAATTCCTCTTTTACCTTATCAAGTGACTGACCATCTGATAATCAGAATGGTGATGAAAAGTTATTGTTTCAACCCACTTGCTCAAAAATTTAACCAAATGACCAGAATTTATTTTGAAATCTCTCTTTGGTCAGACTGAGAATTAATTTGATAAATTCAAAGGAATTGGGTAAAAAAAAAAAAAAAAAAAAATGAAGGAAATCAGATTTTCACCTGATTAGTAAATTGCAGTTTTTGACTTTATCATTGAAACAGTTACAGATATTCAAGAAATCTTTTCAGAAAAATATACTGGAGAACATTTTTCTGACAAGATTTCTTGAATATTCAGGCCAGCAGATGTAGTTGGATTAAAAATTAAAAAAAAAAAAAAAAAGCTTCCACTTAAATATGAGTATGCTTTAAAAATAACATTTAAACATTTAAACAAAATAAATTAAAAATAACACACACTCAATTATATATATGTAAATAAATAAATTATTGTGTATTTGGGCAGCAATCCCACTTTTATACAAATTTCATTAAAAAAATGACTGACAAGGTACTGCTGTTAAATAAAAAAAAAAAAAAAAAATTATGTAGAAATTGTCCAAATGTTCTTTCACCTATACTTTTAGCCATTTTTAATGATGATTTTATTTTTACTTTTAACTGAGTGCATGGATTGTTTAATGTATGTATCTAGAGTTAAAGAAATGTTTTATTTTCCAGTCATGGTCAGCATGTTCTAATTTGTTTCTTGACGTATGTTAATATCGAGAAGCTAATTAGAGAACTAGAAAAAATTATTATAGAAACAAATACATATAATCTGTCTATATTATTCAATGAAACATGCTTGAATGATATATATATATATATATATATATATATATATATATATGACAATACATATATACATGTATACAAAGTAGAGATGAAAAGTATTTGGCCTAATCAAGAAGCCCCTTCTTCCAAAATTTTGATATTTGGTCATGCACTCATATTATATGAAGTGAGCCATGTCAAAAACCTATCACTAATTCTTTGTGTAGGCATGTGCACAAAAATCAACACTTCTTGATGACTGTCATGTTTCTTTCCCTTGATCTTCATATCATATGCTACTTCTGATTGTAAATACACATATTCCTTTTTAATCAATTCATCCCAGGCAAGGTGATGATGCCACTCAGATACAAGGGGCTACTAGGAATGAAAGAAAACATAATCTTAATAAGAAAATGAAGATTAAAAAAATCTACTCCTGTTCAAAAGACTGAATATATATATATATATATATATATATATATATAATCCTGCAGACATTTACTAAAACATTAATTAATTTCATGTGGTACTGACCCACTGAACATTCAAAATATGGCTTCAAACTATTAAAAAAAAACAACAACAACAAAAAAAAAACTTATCAATTTATTTTCAATACCTAAGTAATTTCATATATTGTATATACAATAAAAATTTTGCTACCCATCTCAATGTTAAAAGGAACAAAAAAACTTTAGAAACAATTTTATGCAATAACTTTTGGATTTTGGTTCTTTAAAAAGAAAATGTATTGATTTATTTTATAGATATAAAAGTTATTGGAATTACAATTTTTTTTCTCATAGGTATCCCCATAATTGCAAGTAGAAATTGGTTTTACTCAAATAAAAAGTGTTAAAATCTTATCCAATTATTTCTATATATAAAAGGAGAACATTGATTGCATTTATCAGTGTGAAACTTGTCTTGTTATGAGAAAAATGGTATTTTTAAAAAATATTTATCCGAGATGGTTGTCTTCTGAAAACTCAAGAAAAATTTTTCTTTGGACATATATCAGGTTTTTTTTTTTTTTTGCTGCTACACAAGATTAGAGACAACAACAAAATTATCAACAATGAAAGATTCTTAATTTTAATAAATCTTTAAATAAATCCAATTGATTCACTTGTGCAGGTTTAGATCAAATGGGAAATCTTTATCAGAAATCAACACCCACTCTGACATATCTATCTTTTTAATGGACTTCATTCCTCAGAGCAAAACAAATTCTTGTGTAAATTTGTGGAAAGAAAAAAGAAAAAATGCACAGAAAGCAGACAGCAAAAGTGCAAAAACAAAGGCAATTTGCATCAAGACTTAGAATTTTAAATAAGAAAAGCATTCATAAATTCAATTAAAAAACAAACACATAAGAATGAACAATTAAAATATGAGAGATTTTAAGAAAAAAGTCACAAAATACTTTTGAACAAAACAAAATCATCCAAGCATGAAAAGGATCAATAACAATAAAATCAATAATCAGTCATCATGTTGCATGACCTCTGATCTCATAATATATTTAAGAATCAGGGAATAATACTGAAGATTTTACAAATATCTTTAATATTTTCTTTCATTTTGTAATGTTTAAGTATGGGTGAAATTGTAACATTGCAGGTGAATAAAGGCGATTAATTTAAAGTTAAGAATCACGAAAAAATATTGAACTAATAAACTGCTACACAGATTGTTGGAAATATATATTTCTGAAATACAACAACATATTGGACAGTGTCATTTCCGTAAGAAAAAAGAACCATAATATAGGGTATTTGTGAATTGATTGATCAGTAATGAGCAAGAAAGTGAGATTTCCTAGTTAAAAAGAAAAAAAAAAAATGAGTTTTTCTCTCAAAGATTCTTTAATGAGGTTTTTGGGTTGGTAGGGGAGCAGATGGGAGTATGGAAGTTCTCTCACACACACACACACACTACCCTCTCCATCACTGCTGAGTATTTGACAACATTTCTTTGCTGGAAACAAAATTGTCTGATACATACCCTATTGTGTTGTGCCATTTATTATTACAAGAAAATCTTTCCTCTGTTGAAAAATTGTTTTTGATTTTCAGTGAGAAATCAAGACCATGCAACTTGGGGTATTGGCCTGAAGACAGCTGATGTGACCCACTGTAAAGTAATGACTATAGTTTGCCAAACACCAGTTTGAGCCATATAGGATGTTGGGAAAATACAACAAAATATGTTAATTCAGATTTGAATTTTCTTATCAAAGAGTTTCTATGCAGCCATTTTGGCTAAAAAAAATTCAGAAGAATCCAGTTCTTCATGGGAGGAAGAGATGTAAACAAGAGCAAGGTTGCATTATGCAGTGGAAATAGATCAGTAGCTCTGGTGATTAGATCCAATAAAAAGTAACTCACAAAAATAAAACATTTTCTACTAAATTAGTAATGAAAGCAAAACATTGGTTCAAAATAATTTCCCATCATTATCAAGAAAATGAGTCGTTTTTAGCATAGGTGGTCAATACTAAATTACAGATATCTGGATTGAGTCTAAACATGGAATTAATCCCCTATGCGACCATTGTCACATTTTGTTGATAAGGGGAAATTATTTTGATTCTTTGTTTTGTTGTCATTACTAATTTGGTAGAAAATGTTTTATTTTTGTGAGTTACTTTTCATTGGATCAGGGCTGAGGATTCCAGAGCAATTGATCCATCTCCACTGTATAATTTGGCTGGATTAAATCAAAACATGGAGAACAGACTTTTAGTTCCATTTATGACCTTAAGTATGAACTAAACACACTAACAATATTCACCTACTCTGTGTGTGTGTGTGTGTGTGTGTGTATATATATATATATATATATAAAGGGAAAGAAGTATGACAAAGTGGGAAAAATTTTAGCATGAAGCATATTGTCAGACTATGTTTATGTTGATGCAACTACACATGTCCATGAACAAGAAATGCTGGGTATTTTCAATTTAAAAATATTTTTTATTTTTTTAAAGTGTGTTTTGGGTATATAATCTAGTTGATTTCATTTTTTTTTTTTTTTTTTAAAGCATTTCATCCCAAGCAAGGTGAGAGAGCCACTATAGCACTAGTTAGAGAGAGTGAGGGAAAAGACTGTGTATAGAGGGGATTGAGGAAAAGATAAAAGAATAATGGGGATCATGGCAACAGAAGATGGGGATTGACATTGCATTTAAATTTTTGAAGGTTGTAGTTGTCAGGGAAGCAAGTAAGAGGAAAGGAGTTCCAATGTTGGGAAGTGTGAGAAAAGAAACTGCTGGAGTAGAAGTGATGGTTTCATTTAACTATTTCAACAATAAAAGGGTGGGACCTAGATGCCAATCTAGTAGCACACTTAAATTCATGTAGTCAGGGCATCAAGGAAGATAGCTTATCAGAACAGGTGCCATGAAAATATTTGCAGAAAAAACAGAGGGAAGCCACATCACGCCTATGAGAAAGTGACTGAAGTTGAGATGTCAAGTCAGGATTGATTACATTACAGATCCTTCTTTGGATTTTGTCGAGAACTTCAAGATGAACAGCAGCAGCACAAGACCAAATATAGCAACAATATTCAATGCACGAATGAATGGTAGGTTTGTAAATGTGTAAGATGGACTCTGATGAAAAAAAAACCTTCTGGCACAACAAAGTTAAATGATTTTCCTTGCAGAAGATGCAGCTATTGATTCAATCTAGTTGTTTCACCTTAGCTCATTGAAAAATGTGAGGCCAAGAAGATGCAGTGAGACACTCTCACAGAGTTGAGAATCAACCATGCTGGGCAGGGAAGTTTATCTGTGGCAGTTAAATGAAAGCAGTTTAGTTTTGGAGGCATTTAAGTTTACAAACCATTTACTGCCCCAGTTAA